AAATTATAACAACATTCTTCAATGAACTGGAACAAATAGTTCAAAAATTCATATGGAAACATCAACGATTCTGAATTGCAAAAGCAATCCTGAGAAGGAAGAATAAAGTGGGGGGGGATCTCGTTCCCCAACTTCAAGCTCTACTACAAAGCCACAGTAATCAAGACAATTTGGTACTGGCACAAGAACAGAGCCACAGACCAGTGGAACAGAATAGAGACTCCAGACATTAACCCAAACATATATGGTCAATTAATATACGACAAAGGAGCCATGGAGTACAGCGGGGAAATGACAGTCTCTTCAACAGATGATGCTGGCAAAACTGGACAGCTACATGTAAAAGAATGAAACTGGATCACTGTCTATCCCCATACACAAAAAGTAAATTCGAAATGGATCAAAGACCTGAATGTAAGTCATGAAACCATAAAACTCTTAGAAAAAAACATAGGCAAAAATCTCTTGGACATAAACATGAACAACTTCTTCATGAACATATCTCCCTGGCAAGGGAAACAAAAGCAAAAATGAACAAATGGGACTGTATCAAGCTAAAAAGTTTCTGTAGAGCAAGGGACACCATCAATAGAACAAAAAAGTCCCTACAGTATGGGAGAATATATTCATAAGTGACAGATCCGATAAAGGGTTGACATCTAAAATATATAAAGAGCTCATGCACCTCAGCAAACAAAAAGCAAATAATCCCATTAAAAAATGGTCAGAGGAGCTGAACAGACAGTTCTCCAAAGAAGAAATTCAGATGGCCAACAGACACATGAAAAGATGCTCCTCATCTCTAGTCATCAGAGAATTGCAAATTAAAGCCACAATGAGATATCACCTACACCAGTAAGATTGCAACCGTCCAAAAGACAAACAACAACAAATGTTGGCGAGGATATGGAGAAAGGGGAACCCTCCTACACTGCTGGTGGGAATGTAAATTGGTTCAACCATTGTGGAAAGCAGTATGGAGGTTCCTCAAAATGCTCAAAATAGAAATACCATTTGACCCAAGAATTCCACTTCTAGGAATTTACCCTTAGAATGCAGCAGCCCAGTTTGAAGAAGACAGATGCACCCCTATGTTTATCGCTGCACTATTTACAATAGCCAAGATATGGAAGCAACCTAAGTGTCCATCAGTAGATGAATGGATAAAGAAGAAGTGTTACATATACACAATGGAATATTATTCAGCCATAAGAAGAAAACAAATCCTACTATTTGCAACAACATGGTTGGAGGTAGAGGGTATAACGCCCAGTGAAATAAGCCAGGTGGAGAAAGACAAGTACGAAATGATTTCACTCTTCTGTGGAGTATAAGAACAATGAAAAAACTGAAGGAACAAAACAGCAGCAGAATCACAGAACCCAAGAATGGACTAACAGTTACCAAAGTGAAAGGGACTGGGGCGGATGGGTGGGAAGGGAGTGTTAAGGGGAGTGGGAAACAAAGGGGGCATTATGATTAGCATGTGTAATGTTGGGGTGGCATGGGGAGGGCTGTGCAACACAGAGAAGACAAGTAGTGATTCTACAGCCTCTTACTGTGCTGAGGGACAGTGACTGTAGTGGGGTTTGTGGGGAGAACTTGGTGAAGGGGGGAATCTAGTCAACATAATGTTCCTCATGCAATTGTAGATTAACGATACCAAAATAAATAAATAAATAAATGAAAGAAATAACAAGAAAAAAAGCATGTAGAAATGGGGGTGTATATGGCAAAAAGCTAACACTGTGTCTTCTTTACATTTCTGAAAATAAAATTGGACCAAGAGCTTTGGGGAGAAATATGGTTTGTAACCTGCCCCTTTCCGAGCTTGTGCAAGTCATCCAACCTCCCTTAGGAGATTCATGACTTCTCCCAACCTGTCTTCCTCCATTATGCAGAGAAGATTTCTAGGTGAATGCACACATGACTTCACTGGTGGGAGGAAAATTCAGTGCAGAAAACACCGAATTCTGTCTTGCAGGTCCTAGGCGCTCTGTCGTTTCGCACGTTGGCCTGGCATGTTCTCATGGGGAACCAGGTGATCTGGAAAAGCAGAGACATGGATCTTGTCCAGTCAGCTTTTGACGTTCTTCGGGTAAGATTATCTTTTTCCTTCTGTATTTTGTCGCAGGATCGTGTTTGCCTAGTGGGTTTTCTAAGAAATTTTGACCTGTGCGAACAGAAGGAGGTGTGTATGGCTTGGTACAAAGGCTCTCGCTTGAATCTGTGACCTGGGTTTTTGCCACTGTTAAAAATGAGTCATTAATGGTTTTTATTTCTAGTGGGAGGAGGTTATGCTGTCTTGAGAGACTGCTAACAACTCTTCCTCTCCCTGACCCCAAGTCCTGTAAGAAGCCTTTGGAGTGGTCCCCAGCTGCCTTAGGGGCAGGTGTGGGGTGACGTGGGTGCCATGGGTGCCAAGGTGTGGGTCTGGCTTTGATGAACTGACATCCTCAGAAAGCATGTGTGCGCCTCCTCCCTGGCCACCCCTGTGAGGGCGCAGAGTGAATGACAGTCTCTCAGAAATTTTACACTCCCTCTGTGGGGTGAGGGGAGAAGCAATCATCTGAGAAGTAACAGTGACAGAGGGATTCACACAGCAGAGCAAGAGGCAGCATGAGCAGCTGCCAAGGACGAGTGGGACTGTGGGAGGCACCCCATGGGGCCGAGTGACTGGGGTGCCTTCTGGGGGGAGGAGACTCACACCACGCTGCAGAGGGTGTGCAGGGTGGGGCTCTTGGAGCCCATATGGTTTCTGAGCCATCTGTTACCTCTAGACCATGCTGCCGGTGGGCTGTGTGCGCATCATCCCTTACAGCTGCCAGTATGAGGAGGCCTACCGGTGCAACTTCCTGGGGCTCAGCCCGCACGTGCAGATCCCCCCGCACGTGCTCTCCTCAGGTGTGTTCTTGTTCCATCTGCTTCCCTCACCTCAGGGCTCAGAAGTGGGTGTGGGTTTGGCCATGGATTCAAGGATGCTGCCTGCTGGCCGTGGGGGCAGGAGGACCAGCCTTCTCAATGGCTTTGGACCACTTAAAGAATTAGCGAGGGTCGGGCTGGACAGCCTCATAGTAAGGGTGGCTTGCCACAGTGTGGTTCTCGGGAGCGAGTCACAGTCTGCAGGGGGAGCAGCACAAGTGGGTGTCAGAGGCGAGCGGGTGGTGCCGAAGGTTTGGGAGCCTTCCGTGCCCCACAGTCTAAGGTCTTCCTTACCCCTCTGTGGTCTCCTGTCATACTCCCTTGTCCCCTCCTACTTTTTTCTTCTTTTATGCTTTAAACCCACCCTTGACACTCATCAGTACAGTGGGGCTTGTTCAGCCCAGCACCCCCTCCTCAGTGCTGATGGGCCTGCTTCTCTGGGTGGAGAACCAGGAAGCTAATGAGCACCCTCAGCTTTGGGTTTGGGGGGGAACTCCTGGGGGTAAATCCTGGCTTTCCCAGGCAAGGCAGTGATTTACTTGGGTGCATCTGTGCAAGGCAGTCACTGTGCTCACGGGCAGACAAGGCTGATTGGCAGAGTGTTTGGTGCTCAGCAGCCCTAAGCTGACCCCCACATTCTGCACCCCAGGCTGGGTCCTGAGTCCCTGAGAGGTAGTGCTTTTTGGGGGGTAGTGTTGAGAACGTAGGCTCAGGTTTCAGAGGTGGGCTTGCAGTTCTTACAGTTCTAGCTGTGTGACCATGGGCAAGTCACTTAGCTTCTCTGAGGCTGTTACCCTGTCGATAAGTGGTGGTGATCATGGGACTCCACAGGGTTGTTTAGTAGTAAATGTACTGAAGTATATAAAATAATTAGTAGTTACTGTGATGGGATACATGTGTAACCAAGACAAAAGCTTACCCTTAACTCTATCACAAATGAACTATGAAAGGTTTTAGATGCCAAAATGTTGATCTCAGGAGACTAGAGTTTCTCACCAGTTCATCTGGGAATAATTGGAGCAGCAGCTGAGGTGGGCTTGTAAGGAGATGAGGAGAAGCACACGGTGAGCAGCTGTTTGTGCTGTCACAGAATTTGCTGTCGTTGTGGAGGTCCACCCAGCCGCCCGCTCCAGCCTCCACCCAATCGGGTGCGAGGGTGACCAGTCTCTCAGGAAGTATGAGTTTGTGGTGACCAGTGGGAGTCCTGTAGCTGCAGACCGAGGTGGGTGCTGCCAGGCGGGCTCCCTGTGCCGGAATGAGAGCAGGAGCCCGGTGGGTGGGGTGTGGCTGCTTGCTCCCCGTGCTCACCAGCCCGCCCCTGCTTCGCCCGGCTCTTCCCCAGTCGGCCCAACCATCCTGAATAAGATGGAAGCAGCTTTGACCAACCAGAATCTGTCTGTGGATGTGGTTGACCAGTGCCTCATCTGCCTCAAGGAAGAGTGGATGAAGTAAGCACTCGGCAGCATGGCTCCTAGAGTCTCTGCTTTCCCACTGGGGAGGGCTGGGCTGCCCACAGCAGGATCTTCTGCGGGGAAAGACCAGGAGCTGTTTCCAGAGAGAGAGCAAGGCCGCGCCTACCAGGAGGTAGGGTAGATGGGGGCTATGGGCCTGGGTTCAGGCACTAGTGAAGCTTAGGAGCAACTGGTTCCTTTTCTGAATTTAAGGAACATTTTTCTTTTTTCCCCATTTGGGTGCACCAGGGTTAGAATTAATGGGCAAATGCAAGGCCCCAGAGTGTGCAGGTGTGACCGCAGCTTCACTGCGCCATTGCTCACAGAACTGCTACTGGCCGCGAAGCTGTTCAAGCCTCAGGACCAGAGCCCTGGGGTGGTACTCTGGTAGCTGAATGTCTTGTTTTCGGTTTCCTACAGCAAAGTGAAGGTCCTTTTTAAATTCACCAAGGTGGACAGTCGGCCCAAAGAGGACACACAGAAGCTCCTGAGCATCCTTGGGGCATCCGAGGAGGACAATGTCAAGCTGCTTAAGTTCTGGATGACAGGCCTGAGCAAAACCTACAAGTCACACCTCATGTCCACAGTCCGCAGCCCCACGGCCTCAGAGCCTCGTAACTGACGCCTGCGGGGCTCCATCCCAGGATGTGCCTTCTGGGAAGCCGTGATGGCTGTACTTGCCACCAGGCGCAGAGATGGGCCTCTGGTTGCACAGATTCTCCTGTTTCTGAGGAGCTGGCATAGAGCTCTTCCCTGGCAAGTGATGGAAGCTGGGCAGAATCTTGCCCTCTGTGGGATTTGGGACTGGTGTAGTTTCTGGCATCACCAACCCACAGGCTCTTTGAGTTGCTCCAGCCTTGAACAGGGCAGTGGGAGACTTGTGGCGATGGGTCCCTGCAGAAGACTCAGAAATGTGCATCTCATGCCTCTCAAGGACTTGGACCTCAAAATTTATAGGGAAAACACATCAGGGCAGACCCAGCATTTATCCACAATAACAACACATCTTCTCTCAAGGTTAATGATCAGACCTTTTCTGTTCTGAAATGCAGCAAGAGTTGTCTGGGTTTTGAATGCATGCCTGTATATTTTGCCACAGTTGTGAATTTTTTAGGACATGCTTAGTCCTCTTTAGTAATCTGGTTTTGTGTGCATGCTCTGGGAAGGACTTTTGGGAATGGAGTGGATATTTTCCTCTTTGGATCCTCTGGGATTCACGTTCTGAATCATGACTGCCAAGGCTCTGGCCATGCTCTCCTGTGGTGGCTTTATAATTACGCTTAGTTGAGGACAAGGCCTTGCTGGATTTCACACAAAGGCGATACTTTGCTGAAATGTCAAATGGAGCCATTTGACTTGCCTAACTCACTGTATATGGAGAAGAGAAACCCGCTAGTTAATTCTGTGCCACTGTAAACATTTGCATTTGGCTGCAGTTAACTGTTTTCAGAGTACGGTGGTGTAAGAGTCTCATCATCCTAGTGTACATTTTTAATAAGGATCCATGGCTCGAAGGGATTTTCCAGCAGTTTTGTTGATTTGTTTATAGTTATTTGTGTTTAATTTAAATTTAACATAAAGACTACGTTTATATGACTAGGTGTCTATCATGTTAGAACATTAAAACACAATAAAGATGTATTTTTATAAACTGCTGACTGTATGGATTATTGGTTTGATACCTAAAATTGGGGGTGTTCAGTTACAGAAAATATTACAGTTAAAATAACACTAGTGATGCTGTAACCATTTTGGAACTCTGGAGACTTTTAAAGGCTTGCAACTTCCAGGGGAAGATGTGGATGGTAAATAGTGGCAAATTTCACTTTCAGCTCTTAGCACACAGCAGCCCTCCCCCAACTCCAGTTGTGGTGGAGGCAGCAGTGGAGTGGTGGTCCTGGAGCAGCCGTGCACAGCATATGGGAGCTGTAGCTGGCAGAAAGGGCTCCATCACTCTGCTGTTGGAGATCTGCTCTGATCACTGATTGCTGCTGCTGGTCACAGGTGCAAAGAGGTGTGTGGCCGTGGTCACACTTGTTCCCCTCATTGCAGATCCTGCCCCCTCCCTCCCCCCGGCTGAAGTGACTGCCAGGAAAAACAGAGCAGCTGCATATATGGGGCAAATGAGTGACTGCATGCACAAGGGAAGGCTCAGAAATGACCTGAGAAAAACAAGTTTACACCTGAGGCTGAGCTTTGACGAAAAGGCAGCTTACAGCAATAAAATAATGTGAAACAAAAAGCAGCAAATACCAGGGAAGGGAAGCATCTGATTTCCAGGGCTACCACATTAGACTTAAATGTCTAGTGTTCAAAAAAATAACAAAGCATGCAGGGCCTGGGACAGCATGGCCCATTCAAAGGAGAAAATAATTCAACGAGTCCCCCTGAGCAAGACTTAGTGGTGGATACACTAGACAAAGACTTCAATGTCTTGAAGATGTGAAAGATCTAAAGGAAGCCAAGAAAATGTGTGAACAGAATCAAAGTATCAATAGAGACAGAAAATCTAAAAAGAAACCAAAGAAATTCTGCAACTGAAAATTGCAATAACCAAAATGAAAAGCAGCCTGTAGGACTTGTGGGACACCAGTAGGACCAACACACATCAGGGGAGTTCCAGAAGAGAAGGGCAGAGAATTTTTTAGGAAACTGGCTGAAAGCATCCCAAATTCATTTAAAGATATGAATATAAACACTGAAGAAACTCAAAAAGAAAGATGAAAAGCCACAACAAAATGAATTATAATCACACTTTCAAAAGACAAAAGAGCCAATCTTGGAAGCAGTGGGAGGCAAACCATCACACAGAAGTGATGATCCTCAGAAAGATTATGTGCAGACCCCTCAGAAACTCTTAGGGCCAGGAGACTGTGAGCTGGTATTTTCAAAGTGCTAAAACAGAAATAGCACCAAACAAGAATCCTATCTCCAGCAAAACCATCCCTCAAAAGTGAGGGACAAATGAAGACAGTCCCAGATAAAAGCTGAGGGAGTTCATGACTGCTAGACCTGCAAGAAATTGTCAAGGGCGTCTGCAGGTTGAAATGAAAGGACATGCTAGACAGTACCTCAAAGCCTATGGAGAAATAACAGCCTCAATAAAGGGAAATAATGAGCAATTATAAGAGCTGATGTTACTGTAACAACTGTACTGTTTTCTACATGATTTAAGAAACATTTAAGAAAAAAAATCATTAATGTAGAAGCTAATATTACTGTAACTGGTTTATGTCTCCACATCTTGTTTTCTACGTTTTAGCAGACTAATGCTTGTAGAATAATTGTTTGTTTTATTGATGTATAAAGAATTAATGTATAAAGACGTGACACCAACTGAAACGGGTGGGACTGTCCTGTAAAGCAGCACACTTTTTGTATGTTTTTGAAGTTAAGCTGCTATAAATTCAAATTAGAATGTTACAGTTTTAGGCTGTTGAATATAATCCCCATGGTAACCACAAAAAATAGCTATGGAATATAGATAGAAAATAGATATACTATCAAAATATATTAAGTAAATCTTAAATAGCACATGTGTAAAATGCGGTTGATGTTCTGGCTTTCAGTCTGACTAGCTTTTGCAATATGTAGAAAAAGTAATTGGCGTAATCCTACTTTTGAGATGTACTTTTTGAACGTTTTAGTAGGGAATGATTTCTGGGGCAGCTGAGGGGTTGGTGCCATGGATGACATCTGAGGCAGTGGTGTAGAATTCTCTATTCCTGTTCTTTTTTTGTGTGGCCCACTCTGTGTCCTTTCCTAATCTCTCTTGTTGATTCAGTTTCCCCATTTAACAATATTGAGTGCTTATGATATGCCAGATATTATTCTAGGAGCTAGAAATACAGCTCCCTGCTCTCTTGAAACATCTTGTGAAGAAGGTGAACAATAAACAACTTAAAAACAAGTGAAAATATTCCCAATGAACACTCCCAGACAGGGAGTAGTGAGAGCAGTGCAATGTTGAATTGGAGGGAGAGTGAAGGTCACTCACCTCATAGGGAAGCTGAACCTGAATCATAAGAAAGAGTGAGCTGCTATTACAAAGCCACAGTAATCCATACAATTTGGTACTGGCACAAGAACAGACCCATAGATCAGTGGGACAGAATAGGGAGCCCAGATATAAACCCACACACATATGGCCAATTAACATACAATAAAGGAGCCATGCATATACAATGGGGAAATGGCAGCCTCTTAACAGCTGGTGTTGGCAAAACTGGACAGCTACATGTGAGAGAATGAAACTGGATCATTGTCTAACGCCATACACAAAAGTAAATTTGAAATTAATCAAAGACATGAATGTAAGTCATGAAACCATAAAACTCTTAGAAGAAAACATAGGCAAAAATCTCTTGAATATAAACATGAGCAACTTTTTTCCAAACACATGTAGGGCATAAGCAAAACATAAGCAAAAATGAACAAGTGGGAATACATCAAACTAAAAAGCTTCTATACAGCAAAGGACACCATCAGAACAAAAAGGCATCCTGCAGTATGGGAGAATATACTTGTAAGTGACATATCTGACAAGGGGTTAACATCCAAAATATGTAAAGAACCCACAAGCCTCAACACCCAAAAAGCAAATAACCCGATTGAAAAATGGTAGAGGATATGAATGGACACCTCTCCAAAAAAGAAATTCAGATGGCCAACAGGCACATGAAAAGATGCTCCATGTTGCTAATTATCAGGGAAATGCAAATTAAAACCACAATGAATGAGATAGCACCTCACACCAGTAAGGATGGCCAACATTGAAAAGACTAAGAACAAAAATCTTGGTGAGGGTGTGGAGAAAGGGGAACCCTCCTACACTGCTGGTGGGAATGTAAGCTAGTCCAACCACTGTGGAAAGCAATATGGAGGTTCTTCAAAAAACTAAAAATAGAAATGCCATTTGACCCTGGAATTCCACTCCTAGGAATTTACCCAAAGAAAATAAGATCCCAGATTAAAGAAGACATAGGCACCCTTATGTTTATTGCAGCACTATTTACAATAGCCAAGACATGGAAGCAACCTAAGTGTCCATCAGTAGATGAATGGATAAATAAGATGTGGTACATATACACAATGGAATTATTCAGCCATAAGAAGAAAACAAATCCTACCACTTGCAACAACATGGATGGAGCTGGAGGGTATTATGCTCAGTGAAATAAGCCAGGTGGAGAAAGACAAGTATCAAATGATTTCCCTCATCTGTGGAGTAGAACAACAAAGCAAAACTGAAGGAACAAAACAGACTCACAAACTCCAAGAAGGGACTAGCAGTTACCAAAGGGGAGAGGTGGGGTAGAGTGGATGGAGAGGGAGGGAGAAGGGGATTGAGGGATATTATGATTAGTACACATGGTGTGGGGGGTCATGGGGAAGACAGAGTAGCACAGAGAAGACAAGTAGTGACTGGTATCTTACTACACTGATGGACGGTGACTGCAATGGCTTGTGTATGTGGGGAGGACTTGATAATATGGGTGAATGTAGTAACCACAGTGTTGCTCATGTGAAACCTTCCTAAGATTGTAGATCAATGATACCTTAGTAAAAAAAAGAGTGAGCTGATTCTTCCTTCTTGTGTCTTTTTTCCCTTTTGTCTTCCACAGATTATAAAGTATGTATGTTAGAGCAAAGATAAATGAAATAGAGTAGGAAAACAATAGAAAATATCAAAACCTAAACTTGGTTTTTCATAAAGATCAACAAAATTGGCAAACCCATAGCCAGATAGACTGAAAAAGAGAAGACTCAAATTACTAAAATCAGAAATGAAGTAGGAACATTACTCCCTATTTTACAGAAATAAAAAAGTATTTTAAGTGAGTGCTATGAACAGTTGTATACCAACAAGTTGAATAACCTAGATGAAATGGACAAATTCCTAGAAAAGTGAAACTTAACCACATGTTAGTAAATCACAAAGGAATAGAAAATCCAACTAGACCTATAACTGGTATGAGATTGAATCAATAATAAAAAATCTCCCAAGAAGGAAAAGCTGTGGAGCTGGTGGCTTCACTGTTGAATTCTATCAAATATTTAAAGAGGAACTCAGACTTTTCAAAGAAACTGAAGGCATTATATGAAGACATAACTCATCCTATGGGGAAAGCATAACCCTAACACCAAAAAAGCCACTAAGACAAAGATAAAAAACTACAGACCAAAATCCTATATAAATATTGATTAAAAAAATCCTCAACAACATACTAGCAAACAGATTTCAGCAGCATATTAAAAGAGTGGAATTTATTCCTGGAATGCAACCACGGTTCAACATAGGACAATCAGTGTGATTGCCATGTCAACAAAATAACATGGTCATCTCAGTGCAAAAAATATTTGACAAAATACCCTTTCATGATAAAAATACTCAACAAATTAGGAGTAGAAAATCTACCTCCATGTAACAAAGACCATATATAAATACCTGAAGCAAACAAAATTCCCAATTATGAAAGACAAAGCTTTTCCTCTAAGATCAAAGCAAGAATACCTATTCTCACCATTTCTATTCAACATAGCTTTAGCCAGAGCAATTAGGCAAGAAAAATAAGTGAAAGTCACCCAAACTGGAATGGAAGTAGTAAAACCATTTCTGTTTGCAGATGATATTTTCTTACATAGGGCCCT